ATATATATATATATATATATAAATAATTATATATATATATAATTATATATATATATATATATATATATATATATATATATATATATATATATATATATATATATATATATATATTTATCCAAAGTGAATTTTCAGGTCAGCAGACCATATGTATCTTTTAGACATATAGGCCTATACACTGTGTTCTCTGCTAAAACGTACAACAGAAATACGAATACAGTGAGACGGGAGACGCGGGAGCCAAGTGTCGAGGCCCTTCGTCAGGGGCGCCTCTCCTCTCGCCCGACTTCAAACGGGAGTCACGCACCAAAACCCCTCTCAGGAGCTGTTTGTCTTGGGCGGAGAAGGTGAAACATTCCATGAAATAATGGAAAGAAGAAAGGGAGAATTTGCACAATGGTAGTGGGATTTGGAGCCTAACGGAATTCTGGATAATGCATTCATCTCCGACTAAGTCATAGATTGCAATGTTGCAGCAGCATTACCAAGTCCGCCCTTTTTCGGCGTTGCAGCGAGCTGACTGCCAAAGCGAGCGGGCGGGGAGCATCCGGCGCTGTCGGGACACCAAGGGCGCCTCGACAATATTAAAGGCGTGGTCGCGCTGCGCCTCCGCCTCGTCCTCTGGCGAGCTCCAGCCCTGAGGCCAGAGAGCGAGAGCAGGGTTTCTGCCAAGCAGTTGTGCGGTTGTGGTGCTCTTGGAAGGGCGCTGGGCCGCCGCGCCCGAACCCGCCCCTCGGCACGCTGGGCTGCGAGTGTGGACTAGTTTTAATGATGGCCATGAAAAATCCTAACACAAACACACACACACAGACATATATTGATAGACAAATGAATATATAATATATACCTCATATATATTGATAGATAAATAGATAGATATATAATGTATACATTATATATATATATATATATATATATATATATATATATATATATATATATATATATATATGTATGTATGTATATATATATGTATATGTATATATGTATGTATATAGAAAAGGTATGAATGAGAATGAATATCTTCACAATACAAGAGATGTATTTGATCGGTTTCGACTACATCTTCGCCAGAATTGTAAAATCGAAACCGGTCAAATACATCTCTTGTATTGTGAAGATATTCATTTTCATTCGTACCTTTTCTACATTTGTCAACATGAATGCGGTTCATATATGTATGTGTAGATATCTATGTACACATATCTATACATTTATATCTGTTTCTCTCTATCTGTCCCTGTCTTTCTCTGCATATATATGTATCACAGACAGACGCACACATACAAATAAATAAATATATGTATATATGTGTGAGTGTGTGTGTGTGTGTGTGTGTGTGTGTGTGTGTGTGTGTGTGTGTGTGTGTGTGTGTGTGTGTGTGTGTGTGTGTGTGTGTGTGTGTGTGTGTGTGTGTGGATATATGTGTGTAAATAATACAAGATGATATAATTCATAACATTTATCGCCTGTGCATTTTTCGTCATTCGAGTGTGAAACAAGAAAACACCTCTCGAATTCCGCTCTATTCATGAACCTGCGGAACAGTGGACACGCACTCCGAGCAAAGGAGCAGAACTGCCTCTCCAGCGCGGCCGAACCAGATCGCGCCGCGCCCTCCGCCAGGCGAGAGCAGAGATCAAAGCAGTCAGGCGACCGGTCCTTGCACAGGGCTGTTCTGTATCATGGAAAATATTCTCTTAAGCGACTCAAACCTGTAATCTTGTTTATGTTTCCTTTGAAAAATGAAAACGTGTCAGATTTGTCCAATTCAACAATTTCAACGAGCGGGCAGAGTTGCCTGCTTAGCATTACGCTCATTGCATTGAACTGGAAGTGCAGGGAAATCTTTAAAGCTGTTTGGGGCAATGCGCTCCTTGCAGAGACAAACTGCAGCTGAAATAAAAGGAGCTCCCGTCACGTTCCTCACGAGGGCTTGCAAACAGACCGGTACGTTCCCTTTGGATGTTGGCATCGGGTTCTCGGAGAGGAATGCGAAGCAGGCGTAAAGATGCCATGTTCTATCTGCATCTTTCTCGCATGTGCATGATACAGGCAGAGAGTCTTAAGGCTTGACTTCCGCCGATCCTTTAGACGTTCCCAGTTAGTTGCCGTTAGTTATTCCATTCTTCATCTGTTCATCTCCTCCTCCTCATCGTCCTCCGCCCGCCCTCACCCCCGCCCTCACCCGCCCATGCCGCCCTTGCCTGGGAGGATCGTGCCGGCGCTGTTGGAGATAAATATGATTAGTTTTGCATCGTGAGTTGCAAGCTTTTAACGGCTTTTTCTTTTACAGAGATTTTTAGTAAAGGTGTGATAAGTGATACATTAGACAGGACAGTAACTTATTAGCAAAACAGAAAATTATCAGTATTAAAGAAGTGCTCGTAATTGGAATAGAAATTTTAAAGGAACTTTCACATATCTCATGAAGTGACGGTAGTTCACTCTTCACCAAAATGTCTGCAGATGAAGAGCACAAAGATGCCTCCAAATACAGGTTAGTACAATGTATTTCTCCCTTTTGCTGCTGACCGGACGACAAAGAAACTTTCACATACCAGAATATTCTGAATACCTTAGTGGTTTTTCAGTTTTCGGTCAACCCTCCTCTGCCCTTCTGGTCCCGCTCACTGGCTCACCATTGCCTGTTTTCTAACTAGTTCTCAAACTCTCCCCAGCAAAACTTGCATCCCCCGGGTACCCCAGGCTCACTGCCTCTCAGGAATCTTTCTGCCGGTGGCAAGGCTGCTCTTGGCGTTAGCACGGTCTGCTAAGGAGCTCTTGTCAGCTGGTGACTTACTTGGCATGGGTGACATGCCAAGCGGGTTTGTTCCGACCTTTTGACCTTGGTTGTATCTATAGTCCGGATTCCATCTAATGCCGATCCTGTTGATCTGGAAGTGAGATCCAAATAGTCTTTCCTGACCTTCTTTTAGACCCAATTTTCCATCCCTGGAGTGACTCGTCTTCTGCTCACGCTGTTAGGGTAAGTGTTGATTTAAGCATATGATCATGTAACACTGATTCTCTAGTAAAGGTGTTGAATATGTTAAGGTATCTTTGTGAAGAGTACATATCGATTCTACTGCTTGTCTTTTTGCAATCTTATTTTCTCCTATGGCTGATCAGTCACACTTGTATGCACGACTAAATATCTAGCTCCAGTTTGTGTTTCGTCCATTCTAACCAATGGGATGTTTACGACCTCAGTTCTGTCCAGTTCATAACACGGAGCATGCACCAGACAAAGCCACAGCGCTGCATCAAGCCTCGTGAATAGCAGTTGGTGATGGCGATGACTCGCCACTTTTAATTACAATTTACAGTTCTCGCTATTTTGTTTTAGCCACTGCTTCACTCAGCCCTGCCCCCTTCATGGCAGTAGATTTAGTCTTATAAATTGCTTTTTTTAAACTATAACAACAACTTCTACAATTCCAACTCGTTTCCCTTCTTCACAATATTTGAATCCCTGCGACCGACTGCAGTGTTGGAAAAGTATGATTTTGTGCTCGTTACAGTGCGATAGAATATACTACTATGGCTTGATAAGCACCTAACATTGGTGCATTTTGTATATTATTGATATTTTGTATATTACAGTGACATGCATGGATAGCAGGGGCACTATTATATAAGAAAGAAATATGCGATGCTTATTAGCTATATATATTAATACACACTATGGGAGCTTAATGAAAGAAGATTCCCATGGACAGGGAGAGCATAATGTATTTGATTTTACAAGGGCGGCACTTTTGATACGAAGAGATACAGAGCAGGGGCTCAGCCGCCACAAAGGCCCTGTGCCATTAACGGATCACGTTGAATTTCGTTTTCATGTTTAGGTAAATATAATATACCGATGGCTGGCTGCATCTAAATGTACAGGATTTTGTGATTCTTCAGTGTATGCATATATGGTGGTCTGCATTAATAAACAAGAACATTATCATGACGCCTGCTTTCACATATCAAAGCACTTTTATATTCTTGTTGTATGCAAGACCGACGCACCTGAAGGCGCTCCTTTGAACCTGGGCGAGGAAAGCGCTCGGCCGCCGCAGCGAGCGACGACAGCCACTTAGCGCTGCCCTTGCAACAACGAAGACTCCGCCGGGAGCAACATCAGTTGCAGCTTCACGAGGCGTCCATCGGAGCGAGCGCCGCGGGCGAGCGCTTGGACTTGCTCGCTGCATGGGGTGGGGGTCATCAGCCGTCCCTGGAGGTAGCGATTCTGAAGAAAAAAAAATCCGAAACAAACAATGCTGTTGCAACTAAAACAGCAGATTGGCTTCCGTTGCAAAATACATTTTGAATATTATTAGGATAGCTTGCTGCTTTATATCACTTATCTTTGCATGTAAATGAAAGTGAATTTGAGTGTCGTTATATATATATATATATATATATATATATATGTATGTATGTGTGTGTGTGTGTATGTATGTATGCATGTATGTATATGTATATAAACACACACACACACACACACACACACACACACACACACACACACACACACACACGCACACACGCACATACGCACACACATACACACATACACACACACATACATGGACACATACACAGAGACATATATATATATGTATATATATATATATATATATATATATATATATATATATATATATATATATATGTATATATAACCATATACATATAACGCACACACAGACACATACAGACACATACATATATATATATATATATATATATATATATATATATATATATATAATACACACATACACACGTACACACACACACACACACACACACACACACACATATATATATATATATATATATATATATATATATATATATATATATATATATATATATATATAATACACACATACACACGTACACACACACACACACACACACACACACACACACACACACATATATATATATATATATATATATATATATATATATATATATATATATATATAAATAGATATAGATATACATGCACACACACACACACACACACATATGTGTACACACACATATACACAGATGCATACATACATACATATATATATATATATATATATATATATATATATATATATATATATATATATATATATATATGAGACATATACATATATATATATATATATATATATATATATATATATATATATATATATATATATATATATGTATATATACATAAATACACACGCAAATATATGTACACACACATACACACACGCTCCCTTCAACAAGATGCAAATGTGTTTATATCTACTCTGCGCAGAAATTCTGTGCCAGGGACTTTTTCCTCTTATCTGTTTTTTAGAATCTTGCGCAAGTAATTCATCTGGGAGCGGGTGAACTTCTTTTCGTGTCAAAAGTATACTGTCCAGGTCTCCAAGGCATAGAGAAATATAGTGAGGTATTATAGACCTGCAATTAGCTTTTGAATTCCAAGCCTCTCCGATCCCAGTCAGTTTCTTCGAGGCGACCAAGCGACTGGCTGGCTCTGTAGATATAAAGGTCCACTTAATCGTCGTTGTTGACGGCTCGGTTGATGGTACAAAAACTTGCCTGCGGTCTTCTATGTGCGGCATCATTCACACATATGTGAGGCTCGATGTATGCCGTTCTTGGGGCAGGCAGATGTAGCACCTCAGTCTGTGTGCTGATGGCAAGGCCAAATTGCTGGCATGCAGTAGCAAAGGAATCGAGGCTTGCTTGCATGGTACTCTCTGATGAGGAGGTACCACGCAGTCTTCTGCAAAAGGGAACTTATGTATGGGTTGCAACTTGACCTTTATTCTGGCTTGCAGCCTTCTCAGGTTAAAAACTCCGCCATCCATACGGTATCTGATGGGGATGTCTGGATCAGAATCCGCATAGGCATCAGGCAGCATTGCTGAGAAGCCCATGCTGAAGAGAATTAGTGCCAACACACAGCCTTGTTTCACACCATGTGACACAGCGAACGAGTCAAAGAACTCGCCATTGTCGGACACCTGTGCATGTCTTCATGGAACTGGCGAACCATGAATGAAGCTGGGCGAACAGCCGAACTTGGCCATGATGGTCCATGATTTATCACAACAGGCAATATAAAGCCTTTGTCTATGAAAATCAAGTAGAGAGCCCTGATCAATTCTTAGCTTTTCACTTGTAGCTGGCGGACAGCAAAAACCATGTTTGCAGTTCCTCAACCAGCCCTGAAGCCACACTGACTCTCAGGCAGTAGCACATTGGAATCAAGATGGAGAAAGAAACAGTTAAAAAAAAAGACATGCGAGGATCGTGCTGGTTTTGTAGAGGTGGATGATGTTGCCATCTTTTAGCTCTTGAAGGATGAAACCTTGTGACCACTTGCCCACAAGGAGGACAGTCTTGGGACAGTCTAGTTTAAAGATCTCTGTAGGAAGAGCATCCGGCCCTGGGGCTTAGCCACTTGACATCTGCTTGATGGCCTTACAGACTTGTCTCTGAGGGGGTGTCCAGTGCCATGTTGATGTTCTGTTGTGAGAAACTATTAATGGCGTCTTCATTCATAGAGTTCGTTCAACGCAATTTGGAAGTGCTCGGCCTATCTGTGAAGAAAAACCGATGGCCATGGACCATAGAGAGCCGTAGGTGTTGCAGGTCTACAAAAGGGGTGTTCCATTACAGATGTTCTTTCCTGTGCCATACTCCCCAATGACACCAGACTAGGTGTTAAAGTCGCTTCCAACTTGAGCATTGGCATCACCCAGTAGGATGAGCTTGTCCGTCTTTGGAACCAATTCAAAGAGTTTGGAGAGTTCTTCATAGAAGGCAACCTTGGTGTCATTGGAATTCGTCACAGTAGGGCACATTCGCTGTTGATAGTGACTTGCCTCTTGTTGTGCAGGGGAAGGCAGATTGAAGTTGAAAGACTCACCAATGTCTTTACCATATTGGAATTGATGGCAAAACCAACACTAACTTTTCTCCATTCCTCTGAGGGGAGATCTCCCCAGAAGAAAGTGTAACCTGCCTTCTCTTCAACTGGTTGGCCAGTACCTGAGAGTCTGGTTTCATTTAATGTGGTGATGTGGGTTGTCAAGTAGAGTTATGATATTCCATGCACCGAGGATGAGTGGAATTGTATGTTCACGAGGTCTTCTACCGCTGGTGTGGGATCCCACCTGCCGCAGTATGCAGGCCAGTTAAAGCAGGCTATGTTTGAACCACCATTTCTAGGTGAGCAGAGTGATCCAAAAGAGAGCTACTCAGACACCCAGGGGGCTGTCGAACTCAGCTGCTGCTTCTGGCCCGGCTGTGAACGACCCTGGACCGGCTGTGTACAGTTTCCACATCTGCTAATGCTGCCACTCGCCCATCATCACAGGACTTCATGAAGAGATGAATGGAATGTGTTAGGGGTGAAGAGGTGATGGCCTGAGTCCTATTGTGCGCTTGACTTTGTTTAAAGTGAGGGTCCTGTGGCAAGGCAATGCCGAGACGACCGTA